CCCCAAAACCCCAAAACCCCAAAACCCCAAAACCCCAAAACCCCAAGTCCTTCTTCAATGTTGATTCATGGGATTAGAATATATTCTTAAATACAATTAAATCAAGATAATTGATCTATGCCTCCGCCTTGAATTCTGAGCTCATAATCGCGTCTTTCATGAACTGCCCCTGGAAGGAATGAATCGGCTTCTGATACGCCTGATGAACTTTTCTTGTTGATTGAAGATATATTCTTGAATCTATCAATTCTGCTACTTATACCTAAATAAATTAACTATTCTGGGTCTCACTTTCTTCATAATCAGAGATAATATCATCATCGGTTTGAGATTTAGGAGCATTGACACTGATCTTAAATGACTTTTCAGGACTTCCAACAGCCACAGATTTATTATCAATAAGGGGCGATGAAGCATCAGAAGTCATTGATGCTGATTCATTCTCTAATAATTTCTTCGAATCATCAGAGTGCAATGAGAGAAGATGACCTCTCTGTATGAATTGTAACCTACTCTTCTTCAGTCTATAGTGTATAAAAATTTATTGCTTACTTCATTAGACCTTCATTCTTCTTCTTAGTGTTCCTACGCACCTTACTCCCTCTCTTAGATTTCTGGAAGAAGGTTGAGAAGTCAGTTGTTTTAGAGTTAGTTAATTTCTTCTTCAAGGTCATTCTTCCAGTATAAATTCCATTATTTTAAATCATCAAGAGTTATTCCCATCATCTTAAAGACATCATTAATATCTTTCAACTTCTCTTCGATCTTGAAATTATGCCTCTCACTGAGTTCAAGTCTGCTCTGAACTAGTCTAAGTTTTCTGTGCATCTCTACTGGATCAAGGTCTGCTATATTGACATCCTTTAATTTGAAGAGTTTCTTATGGAGATCATTTAGTTCTGATTTCATCCCTATGTTCTCAGTTCTTAGTTTGGATACTAAATAAAATTAGATTCAGGTGAATATTTTAGAATTAAGAGTACCAGCAAATTTTCCGGATGACCAAGAATTTGAATATGAAGATTGTCGAGTCAGATTTTTATAATTTTTTGGGAAGTGGAGCGGAGTCTTACTTGTGCTAGCAGATTCAAAACGAAGCTTGTTATAGTCTTTGTGCATCTTATCGTATTCTGTTTCAATAATATTCAACTTTTTATCTGTCTTCTTTTTGTCAGTTTTAAGAATCTGATACTTTTTCTTTCATTTTTCAATAGTTTTTGCAGCACCATTTTCAAGGGCTTCAAGATCGCTTTTGAAAAGAGTGTTAGACATATCTCCAATAACTTCTTGGAGATCTTCGATTTGTTTAGAGAATGAAGCTTTGAGCTTTTGTATAAATATTTGATATTTTGAACGTATTGTTTCTAGTTTTTCCTGGCACTTTGTACCCAGAACTTTCTGTAACTTATCGTTTTGCTCTTTTGGTACTGGCTTGCCTGAGAGCCAATTAGAAATTAAGGAGTCTTGCCATTTTGCTTCATGATTGATCTATAACACATGTTTAAGCCTAAATCTAGACCAAAATGACAACAAGTGCTATTAATCCTACTAGCCATTACCTGGTCAAGTGAGTTTTGGAGCTTCTGAATTTTTTCTTTAAGAATTATATTTTCTCTCCTGGGACTGAGAAGATCTTTCTTGGCAATCTATAACTTTTAGCTAAAATATTTCACACCTTTTCTTGCTCTCTAAACATCTTGATAGGTGAGCTCATTGGATTGGTCTTAGATGGTGGTCCTATTAGCATAGTAGGTTAGATTAAAATTATAGATAAAATTTTTTTCCTGAAAAATAGTAAAAACCTCCAAAATAAAGAAGTTTAAAAACTCACCAGAAATAGTCAATAACTTCCTGAAATTACTGGGGTGTCCATTCTGGTACGTCATATTAGGGTCTGACACGAAAGTCTTTAACATACGATTCGTATACTTCTTCTCTTTAATTCTGGGTACTTTCGTAGCAGAATGATGCTCAAATATTGTTCTGATAGCTGGAGATTTGGATTTGATATCAGTTTTATTCTACAATGAAAAATATTTAGTAGCGAATCATATGGCTCAGGAAGCAGTCCCATGAGACTTCTAAGACTTAATATAATGATATTAATAAGCTTTAGAAAAATTTACAGGCTTAAGAATAATTCATAATTTCTTGAGCTTGAAATAATTCAAGTTACCTTAGTTGGAGAATCAGAGTTGTTATATGAAAGCCATCTTTTCTTCTGAGATCTCGAATAACTGTTATTTCTGATTCAGTATAGAGAAATTATAATCTTGAGCATCTCCACTACTTTTGCAAGACAATATTGAGACAGGTGATGATATGGCTCTGTTGTTATTCAGATGTCTATACAGCCAATTTATACCAACCACCAAACCTCTTGACTAAAATGCCATTCCAGCAATCCCAAAGTACCAGTAATTTAAAACACCTTGATCCCAATGTACTTACATCAAACGGTTATCTGGATGCTTAATCTTGATATGAGGGGGTCTATTATCCATAATGGAAAATATAAATAATTCAATGAAGTAAACATCTGTGGGGTTTTGGGGTTTTGGGGTTTTGGGG